AGATAAACCTACTTGGACCTACTTCCTCTAATTAGGACCCACTTCCTCTAACTAGGACCCACTTCCCAATAGTACATCCAGCTATCAGTGATACTTGATGGATAGTGGATCTTGAGGGCTCTGACCTAATCAGCAGTCTCCATCCCATTTGACACTTGTTGTATTGGGGACCATGCTTCCAATACAGGAGTCTTGGAGGGCATTCCAGACCCAAACCATAACACTTAATCAACTCAAGTAACCTATCACTGTGACAAAGGGAATCAGGCACCCTGGCTCAGCCAGATTATATGCCTGTTTGTGGTGGTGGGGAGGAGGCAGTAGGTGATTTGCAGTTTGATATCAGAAGTAGAGAGGAGGTGTTTAGGGGAAATAATAGCAATAATCATCCAAGGGAAAGAGAACTTGATCATTTAAGAAATCCTGTAGAAAATGCCTCTTAATTTACCTTTTGTATGACTTAAAGCCAGCACACACTATTTCATTTGAGGCATTCTAATTTTTCTTAAGAATTTTTTAAACATTTTTATTTCATCAGTTTGAATTTTTTTTCTGCCTATAGTGGATATTTATTTGCCCCCTTTCTTTTAAAAAAAATCATTTAATATGTCCTCCTATTTCTACACTATCTTGATGAGGATTTTGTTGTATGTCATTTAAATAGGGAGCAGGAGACTTACAGTTGGCCATATAGACAAGTTTTCTCCTAAAATTTGAACTATAAAATAAGTGATAGAAGTAGCTATGTGATAGCATATGAAGGACCAGGTGATTCTTGTTGCACATATGTGCCAGTGATTCCTATCCATTACTGTATTCTGCTTATGGTACTCTTGTTTTGTTTTGATTCAGTGGGCTCCTGTTTTTCTAAGACAGTCTCTTTTTTTTTTTTTTTTTGGAAATAATAGCCAGTTTCCAGTGCTTACAAGCAGGAAACTTATTTTCAGAAGATTGTTAGAAGAAGGCAACTGCCATTCTTAAGAGACTTGATCTAGGAATCTGTGACAATAGATTATTACAAATATGACTTCTCTCCCTTGCCATATTGTGTTGTTTCCCCTTGATAATGGAGACTAGCATCAAATAAAGGCAAGATGTTACACTAGAGCCTTCACTGCTCAATAGGATATTGGGAGCTGCCCTGGATGCAGACGCCTATTTAAGCCCTGATGCACCAGGTTCTGAACAATTATTGTCCTCAGTCTGGCATGGTAGTGCCAGGTTGTAGTAACTTGGGTGTTACCCCAGCTCGGATAACAAGGCATGGCTCCAGGAGTAAGAGTCACCTGCTGGGGTTGAGATACTCTCACCTGTTCCTTTGTAATCCTACCCCTTTGCCTTTTGGGGGATAGAATGTTCCATGGAACCTCCCCTTGTGTGTCCCCCATATAAGAATAAAGAATTCCAGTGGCTAGCTCTCTTTCCATGGACCCTTAAGGTTGGAGAGCTGTCTCGGATTTTGAAAAGGTACTTCTGTTTGTTTACGCGCTTTCTTTGTCGTTTTCTTAAGTTATTGGAATAGTCAGATTTTTGTGAACCCAGCATTAGGTCGTCAGCTAGGATAGATGGTGATAATAGGGTATCGCTAGGCACATATAATTATTTAAATTTAAGTTAATTAAAATTTTAAGAGATTAAAAATTAACTTCCTTAGTCATGCTAGCTACATTTAAAATGTACTATAGAAATACGTAGTTAGTGTCATATTGAAAAATGCAGATTATAGAACATTTCCACCATTGCAGAAAGCTTTATCAGACAGCATTGTTGGACTGTTAAGGGTAGGGATTCTATCTTTGTTATTTACCAATGAATCTATAACACTTAAAACTGGGCTCAGCATTCATAGGCTCTCATTAAATATCTGTTGAACGGTGAAAAAGCACTATCAGCTGCATGCCAGGATTATCACAGTTGACTATACTTTGAAGGAGCTTGAAATAGTTCCATCCTATTCCAAAGTTTCTAGGTAAAATCTCCCATAGATTTATTCTCTTTTAATTTGGCCCTCCATTCTACCTCCTATTTCTTTTCCATAATTATTTTTAAAGTACAGTGTACATACCTTATCATTTCTTACTCCCCAAACTACTCATCCTTTATTTTCTGATTTCTCCCCACCACTTCCTCAGTAGAAGCTCTCCTTTAATAGCAGCCTCTGTTGTAGCCTTCAGAATCCTTATTGTGCTATCAAGAAATGTTTTGTGATTCAACTTTTTTTTTTTTTTTAATGAAACCTCACTGAATCTGATTTTCTCCTAATGGCATGTATCCCAGAATCCCTTTTAAGTAGAAATTATTTTTCTTCATGCAACAAAGAACTACAAGGGTCATCAGCATTTATAAACCTTACTCTTGCTTTCAGATGATTATTTGACTAACCATGGTTAAAATGTTTTTCTTTTGATATTTGTTGCTTCTAGGTTGTCCCTGTCTTTTTTCTTTGCCGTTTACTGATCTACTGGATATTCCTCAATAATCTCTGAGGTCTTTGCTATCTGTCTCAACTTTTCTCTATTTTTCTATCTTGCCATCTTTCTTAGTGTCTGCACATTTGTTTTGTTGGGCTATTCAACCCTTAGACTTACAGTTTATCATAGCTTCATGCTAGCATTCTTTAAGTTTACTCTATTTTATGTTTGTTTATCTACTAGAACCATTTACTTCAAAGGCATAAATATCTTTCTCTTTCCCAGTTCATTCTCACTGAAGATACTGAAACAGGTAGTCCTCATGCTTTTTTTTTTTTTTTCCATTCAGTTTATTAATCTGGCTCTCTTGCCTCCTTTTAGTTTAGAAACTGCAGCTCAATTGTGTTCCCATTTGTATATAAGCAAAGGCTATTAGATATGAATTCTTTCACCTTCTTGCTACCTTAGAATTTCAATATCTTTATCTCTTTTTATTCTCACTTCCCTTTCCATTATACTAAAAATATTCTTTCCCCTTTACTTCCAAGTGAGCCATTTCATTAATCCATTTCCATTGTTTTCTTTGAGGTCTTGCTCCATCATTTACTCCTCTTCATCTTTATTTTATCTTTAATTTCTCCATTTGAAGACTGTTACTTTGCTTTCAAGGACTGGTTATAATTGCATCTCTTTTAAACAGCCCTAACTGATCCCTTACCTGAGTTTTATTTCTTGTTGATTGACCAGCTGTATCCAAATTCTTGACCTGGACTCAACAGTCTTCTGTCTTCTGTTTTCATCATGATTTTGTAGAAAATAACTCTTATAAACTCAGTAACCTTAAAGCACCTTGTTAATAACATTCAGGAATATTTAATGAGGAAATGCCCCCAAAGTTTGAGAACAATAGCATAGCTAGAATTATGAAATAAGAAGGTTATTGGTACTGACAAAGGAACAAGAGGGGCTGCGGATGTGGCTCAATCGGTAGTGCGCTCGCCTGGCATGCATGCGGCCCAGGTTCGATCCTCAGCACCACATACAAACAAAGATGTTGTGTCCGCCGAAAATTAAAAAATAAATATTAAAAAAAAATTCTCTCTCTCTCTCTCTCTCTCTCTCTCTCTCTCTTAAAAAAAAAGGAACAAGAGGAAGAGCAGGACTAACCATCTCTTTAGACTCGTTTTGGGCATTTATATGTAAATATATCAAAAGTAGTTGGTCATACAAGATTCTTTCATGTTCTATCTGTCTTACTAATTCAGGATTTGAGTTGATTCATGTAGTCTTTCAGCAGATATTGAAATCATACTGTATTCAATGCATAGCCCTAGGCTTTTTTCTTTTTTCTTTTTTTTTGTATCAGGAATTGAATCCAGGGGTGCTTAACCACTGAGCCGCATCCCAAGCCCTTCTTATTAATTAATTAATTTATTTATTTATTTATTTTTAAATTTTGAGACAGAGTCTCATTAAGTTTTCTTAGGTCCTCACCCTCCAGAGCCACTAGGTAGTGCCCAGCTACCAGTAGACTCTAAAGGGTGTTATGGTCCCAATTCTGATTGGGCAGATCAGATGTGCTGCTAAAGTTAAGTTATAAATGACTACGGCCAAATGAATTATATTTGAAAGGAATTTTTAAAAGGAGAAGGTTGAGGGGCCCAGCCTACCAAACCTAATTAGCATAAAGTTTTCTCTACAACATTGGTCATTTGGTCACCAGAAGGTTATGATTGAGCATGTATCATTTGTTTAGAAGAGAATGCAGTATTGGTCCTCTTCAAATGTCCATTTGTTTTGGATAAAAAACTCATTAGATATTTTATAGAATTCAGTATGGTGATCTTCATTAGATAATTTTCTTTTAAATCTGTTAGCCCTGGAATAAAGTAGCAGTGTTTCTGATAGCATTGATAAATTATAGAACTTTTAAGTTGTATGGATCTGAGGTAGCTTTTCCTAAACTGAACTACTTTTTTCTGATGACTTGACAACACATTCTACACTTTTCCACTGAAGGCCAGTTGTTCAGGCTGTTCTCTATGTTTATTAAAATCTTACTAATCAGATTTTGTCTCCCTGTAGTATTCCCTGGTACCTTTGGACAAACTTGATATCTCATCCTTACTATACTCATAGTTTTCCACTGCAAAAGAAGTAATCTGTGTTTAAATTTTAGTAATATGTAAACACTGCCTAGCTGCCTGGAATCTATGGTTGAATCTATTACTTTTGTTTTTTATTTTTTATTTTTTGGTATCAGGGATTGAATCCAGGGGTGCTTAACCACTGAGCTACATCCCCATCCTTTTTTAAATATATATATTTTAATTAGGGACAGGGTCTCGCTGAATTGCTCAGGGCCTCAATAAATTGCTGAGGCTGGCTTTGAACTCAGGAGCCTCTTGCCTCAGCCTCTTAGCTGCTGGGATTATAGGTGTGTGCTACCTCCCTGGCTTTGGATCTACCACTTTGCATAACACAACACCTGGTATCAAACAGGCATTCGATATAATTTATTGTCTAATTCAGTGAAATAATAAACTGTATGTGGATGTGTAATGTCTTTTGATGGGTTGTGGTTTTTAGGTTAAAACTTCAACAACAAATTGTGAATATTGAAAATGCAGAGAAAGAAAAAAGTGAAAATTCTGATCTGAAACAGGTATGATTTGTAGTAAACATTTTGCTTTTATTTATTGATTTATTTTGTTATGGTACTATAAATTAAATCCAAGAGTGCTCTTACCACTGAGTTACATCCCTAATTCTTTTTATTTTTTATTTTGAGACAAGGCATCACTAATTTGTTGAGGGTCTCACTAAGTTGCTGAGACTTCCCTCAAATTTGTAGTTCTCCTGCAAGTCTCTGGGATTACAGGAGTGTGCCCCACCCCTACTCCATGCCTTGCTTGCTTTTTTTTTTTTTTTTTTAGGTGCTTCTTTAAGTTGTTGTTTTGCATAATTATTGGAATTTTGCATATCACATTTATGATAATCTAATTAGCACAGTCCACAATATTGATGTTGATGTGTAAAGATAAAGTGTTTCAGCTTCTCTGTTGTAATTGAATAAGCTTATTTTCTGACTGCTGGGTTTTTTTTTATATATTTGCATGCTGTAGCTCATAACAATTCTTTTAAAAATCAGGAAGACATTATTTTGATATCTGGAATTTTAAAAATTGCTTAGAAAGATTATTCATTTTTAAGTTAATTGAATAATTGGTTTGTAACTTTGTATTTAATCCATAAAGTACTTCTTGCTATTTCCCTATGAAATATAAGTCGTATTTATATGGAAAGAAATGTGTATTTTAATTAAATGTATTTGGGTTCAGGAAAAAGATTATATATGGTTGGGCAAAACATGGGAGAGTATTCTCTTCCAAATTCCATTTTATTTTTTGTTAAAAAAAAAAACTTTTTCCTACTGATTATGAAATAGTGAGTATTCTACTTTTAAGGTTTATCTTGCCTATTAGCTGGTACTGCTTTGCATGTGCAGTTACAGCTTCTGAGCCTCAACTTGGAGGGCATAACGTTTGATTCTCCAAGAGAGAAGTTATGTAGTATCCTTGGCATTGGGGTTTCTGTCATCCTACAATATATGGAGGTATTAAGTTCTTTGAAGTTTGCTTATTTATGTAACTATGACATAGATGTAATGTTTGCCACTCCTGTTGCCACATGAAGGTATTCATTCCAGAATATAATCTGAGACATACCATTTTACTTTATTCTGCTAACAAATTGCTCTATGGACATACATAATCCTATCTTACTTGACTTTGCTGCCATTGGAAAGTAATAGGATTGTTACCCATTTAATTTATTGCATAAAAAGAATCTTATTTCTTTTAACTCTTAAATCTCAGGATGGGTTCTTTTGATCCCTGTCTCTTGATTATTTGCTCTAAAGTATCTCAGAGAATGGCTAAGAGAGGTAAATGGGAAAAAAAAGAAAAATGAGAATTTCTTTATTTTATTGGCAAAATGGCATGTGGATAGATATAACTATCCCAAGTGAAAACTATTAAATATAACTTAGAAGCAGTTTGAGTTTTTCTAGCCTGTTCGTTATGTCATTATCCACTTTTCTTGAGGAAAAATATTCCCAGGTGAAGGTAAATTAGGATGGAATAAAGGCCTTGGGTGACATTATGTGATTTGAAATGTGGCTCTAGAGGCCAAGGAATCCCTAACCATTCATTAGATTTCTCAGATCTTCCTTCTGCTTAACACTGGGCATGTAGAATAATTGGAAATCATTTTAAAACAAGGTGAGAACAACCCTTCCTATGTTTACTCAACAATTCTTGACTGCTCAGAGAGCAAGCCTCCTACAAGGGTAGTATGTGGGAAGGGGGAACAACTAGTTTCCCAGTTGACTTGTTTTTTGTTTGTTTGTTTTGTGGGGCTGGGGATGTGGCTCAAGCGGTAGCGCGCTCGCCTGGCATGCGTGCGGCCCGGGTTCGATCCTCAGCACCACATACAAACAAAGATGTTGTGTCCGCCGAAAACTAAAAAATAAATATTAAAAAAAAAATTCTCTCTCTCTCTCTCTCCCTCCCTCCCTCCCTCTCTCTCTCACTCTATCTTTAAAAAAAAAATTGTTTTGTTTTTTAAATTTTTATTTTTAGGTATAGATGGACACAACACAAAGCCTTTAATGCCTTTATTTTTATGTGGTGCTGAGGATTGAACCCAGATCCAGCCCCTGCTAGGCGAGCGCTCTACTGCTGAGCCACAATCCCAGCCCAGTTGACTTGTTTTTAAAGTTGGTTCTTTTCCTAGAAGGCTAGGGAAAAACTAGAGTCAAAGGAGACTTTACATTCTCTTTTTTCCTTGTTCTTCTTGCTAACCCTTCTTCCCACTTGTGCTTTGTTTATTGTGGGAACAAAATGAGGAACTCAGTGACTAGGGAATATATGGTTAGTGGTAGTCTCTAATTATAGTAAGAAATTATCCTAACTGCTGCTATTTATTATTTCATTTAAGGGGCATCTTTGACGGCATACCAGCTGGGTGGGACATTTGTGATGGTGAAATGCTTAGTATCCTCCACTTTTCAGACCTTACTGCATTTGCTTAGTGGCCATATGTTTCACTTTTTTGTTTTCTTTTAAGCAAATCAGTAGCTTGCAGATCCAGGTGACCTCACTGGCACAGTCAGAGAATGACTTGCTGAATTCAAACCAAATGCTGAAGGAAATGGTGGAGAGATTAAAACAAGAATGCCGAAATTTAAGAAGCCAAGCTGAAAAAGTGCAAGTAGAAGTTGAAAAGTAGAGTTTGCTCTTTTTTTTTTTTTTTTTAATGTACAAACTATTTTTTTCTTTTTGGCATATAATACGTAGTTATTTCAGTGATAATTAATTCCAATGTTGAATGTGTTTGTATTTAGTTATAAGTACCTTTTGGTAGTGTACATTTGTCTTAGGTAACATACTCTGTAAATTGAGCTTTATAGATTTTTTAATTATTTAGAAGAAAATTTTAAAATCCTTCCTGAGCACAGTATTCTGAAAACTCTTGAAAGAAATGATCCTCTTATTTTTTGAGCAAACCAAAACAGTTAAATAACCAAAGAACAGATGAGTTGATTGTGGGGTTGTTATTTTTGTGTGTTCTCAAAACTTCTTAGTATTAGAACTAGTTTTGGATTTTCCCTCTGAAAAGCTAATTTATTTGTTTATATTTTTTGACCTTGAAATTTGTTAATAGTAGTGTAGTAGACAGGGGAAAATTATTTTGGTTGTATTCAAGACTTTATGTTCTTTGGAACATTTTAATATGTGGTAGAATAGACCTGGGGAATGTGACTCAGTGGTAGCGCACATACCCAGCATGCACAAATCCCTAGGTTTGATCCCCATGAAAGTAATGAGTGAGTAGGTGGGTCGGTAGGATAAAATATTATAGTACTTTGTATTTGCTTTGTCTTTATAACAAAAACATGTTATTATAGATGTTTATTTCTATCTATAAAACATTATTTTTTTTCAGATTTGTTCTTCTAAAGTCAGTCTTACCAAGTAAAGCTTCTATTTTCCTTCAGTTTTTCTGTTCTTTCATATTTTAAGGCTCATCCAAGGTTTCATATATCAGGTTGAATTTCAGGAAAAGGAAGTAAGAAAGGTGCATGTCCATATGTGTTATAACATTCCTGAGGGTCTATTTTTCTTTTATTTTTCAAAAAAAAAAAAAATAGAAATTGGTGTCTTGAAATTCTCAAGTGTTTGTAATGAGCTTAAGAACCCTAATGACAAGCATAACTAGCAAATTTAAGTAATTTATTGTTGTTTTCTGGGTGTTATTCATAGGACAGTTGTAGAAGAAAATAACTGGACTACAGAATAGAGTATAATTTTAGTCCTGACTAGCATACTTAAAATCTGTATGACCTTAGACAAGTAATCTTACTTATCATGGTTTATTATTTCTTATTTGTATTACTTATAAAAGGATATTAAAAATCATATAAAGGATAAAGAATAGCTTTAGGAGTACAAATTTTAATTATGTTACCTTAAACTGTCATTGGTTTGAATTTTACTGTATCCAGAAAACACACCACACAAAGACTTGATTCCAGGCTGATTTTTTTGGTACTGGGGATTGAACTTCGGGACACTCAACTACTGAGCCACATCCCCAGCCGATTTTGTATTTTATTAGAGACAGGGTCTCATTGAGTTGCTTAGTGCCTTACTATTGCTGAGGCTGGCTTTGAACCCAGGATCCTCCTGTCTCAGCTTCCCAACCTGCTGGGATTACAGGCGTGTGCCAGTGTGACCAGCTCTAGGCTGATTTTTACAAGCTTCATTAGGTCCACTTTTTATTACTTGGTGGTCTTTGTAGTTTAGACCTGGTTATCAGGCATTTGTCCTGCCATTAATTAGATATGAGTTCTTACATCAGTTAATCACCTACTGTAAACCTAGTTCCTCATATATAAAAAAGACATGACAAGTACTTAATTAGAAGTACAGTGACTGATTTGTAAGAAATGCTCTGTGATGTTAATGTTAGCAAATGTGTGACCAAATAGTAGTGCCTGTAGTTAGAAAAGTAGGGATATCATCAGGCAGGTAATACCTATTTAACCTTAAGCATTTATATTAACTTCCATGTTTTTGCATACATTTATTTTTCTGACAGGACATTGGAAGAAAAACAAATACTGTGGTTGGAAGAAAAGCATAAGCTTCATGCACGTATCACAGACAGAGAAGAAAAGTATAATCAAGCTAAAGAGAAACTACAGCGTGCTGCCATTGCTCAGAAGAAGGCAGGTGGTTCTTATTAAAATGATTTCTATAGAGTAAAACAACTATTTTAGAGTAAAATGTAAAATTAAAGCTGAGATTTTAGTGACATGTTTAATTTGATATTTAAATATTACATTTCACTGTCAACCTTGCAGAGGTAAAATGGGAAAATCTAAACCATCCAGCAGGTTTACTTGTGAATTTTGTTTGAGCTGACAGGTATTTTCCCACAGAGATGGTATTTTTTTAAATCAATAAAACCTTCCAGGCCAATCCATACAAGTCTTAATTCAACTCATTCTCCTTTAAAGTTATAATGTGATTAGGCTTGTTTCACCTATACCTAACTAATATCTATAATACTGCTTCTGTGGTTAAAAGCCTTTTTTGTTTCCAACTCAAAAATTAGGGGCAAGTATCTTCATGCCCTAGTTGTAGGGCCTAGGACTCTTCATAATTTCTAAAACAGCTACACTATTTCCACTTTGATCCTTTTAAAAATTTTACCTCTGCAGTCATACTTTTCTCTAGAAACTAAAAGGCTTTCTTTTTTGGAAATAGTCTAGGGTATCCTGAAAATCATGTAGCCAGGTATTTTCATATAAGTCAGTGGTTTATATCGTTTTTCTACTTCAGTAAACCCAAGGAATGTAGCAGTTTCCATCAGTAACAGTGACTCATTGGCAGTGATTTAGCAGTTGTTTTTAACAGAGTCTGGCTGTGAGGAGGGACAGGGTAGTGGATGTACATGTGTGTGTTTGATGTTTCCACTTAATAAGTTCTCTTTTTAGAAATGTTGGTTATGAGGAGGAGAATAACTGAGATGAGAGAAAGATAATCCTAGGTGTACTAGTATCATAATAGCTGTGTTTTTTGGAAAAGTTAATTGTTCAGATTTGAATAAGAGGAAATAACTAGATCATTATATTCCGATTTGGAAGTCCAGGACACTGTTCCTAGCAATCATTTTGTTATTGGGGTAAATGTCAAATGTGATTGACAGTTGGAGTGATAAATGAGTAGTCACTACTTCACTGTCCCAGCTACTGATATTTTCTCCTTCCATAATGCTAAAAGTAGTAAAACATTGAGATTAGAAAAACATTTTTTATTTTACAAGAATCCCAATGTTTTGTATCCTTTATGCCACTTTTATTGCCTTTTGTCCATGTAAGTACTGAAAAGCATGTGGGTGTTAGGATTTCAATACTTTTTTTAATGACTTGTGACAGTCTCAGAAATTCTACTTACACTTCCTTGCACTGTGAAACCTAGGCACATCTGAAGCTAAATTTCAGCCAGAAAATTCTAGAAGTAATAGGAGCTGGTTTTCCCCCTACCCACACAGATAAACTTTCATGTTGAAGTTTTAGGGATAAGTGTCTTAGAAATCAAATGCTAATTATTGTGGTTTAGTTTGATTAACTTCTTTTGGAGCAAAAGTGATATCCAGTGTTAAAAGAGATCAGACACTGATCAGATTAAGGAAATTTACTAGGATTGCCATGGGGCACTGGGATACATTTGAAATTCGTGATTGTTCATTAAAGGTGAGACTAGTCAGCACAGTTCTGTGTGTGCCACTTAAGTTTAGCTTCATGGGTGCAGGCATGTAGCATGAACTGCATTTTGCCCAGGTCAAAGTTTTTCATGCAAGTTTGAGGAAGAATTAGATTCAGATCAAGGTAATAAGGATGTCTACAAAAACAAATTTATTATAATGGTAAAGTTTTAAGGTAGTCATTGGCTCTTTCAGTCAATATATGTTGAGTTTTTGTTTTTATTGTATTTGAGCTTAATTCCTGGCAGATAGTAAGTGATTAGTAAATAGTTTGCTTTTATAATGGAGATTGAAAAGATTACTAACAGTAGTCTAGGAACCTGGCTTTTGGAAGTTCATCTCCAGATTTGTCTCAGGAGGCAAATTTCAGAGTCTATACTATAAGTTGATAATATGATGCCATATTAATCTTACACCAATGCTTTTTAGTCACCATTCCTCAGCATTTGGGTAAATTCACATCCATATATTTTTACAGAATAATAAAGCCCAGTCCTGGTCTTAGCTTCTCTAGAATGGCTTCTGTCATGGTTTTATACTTAAAGACTAGAATTTCTTACAGAAATCCCTATCTTTGTATATTACCTATAGTTACTATAGGGCCTGATTAAATTTACCTGTTTGATGTGTATATTCAATGTATATATACTTGATTAAGATTTGATGGCAAGTAAAATTATTTATTCGACTACAGTTTAAATAATCAACTGAAGAAATACAATTAGATTTAAGATTGTGTATTTATGTGATCATACAGTAATGAGATTATAAGCATTTCTACCTTTAAAATATCTGCTATTGGGCTGGGGTTGTGGCTTGGTGGTAGAGTGCTTGTCTAGCATGTGTGAGGCACTGGGTTCAGTTCTCAGCATCACATATAAATAAATAAATAAAATAAAGGTCCATCAACATCTTTAAAAAAACTTTTAAAAAACCCCTGCTATTTATAGTAACAAAAATGGCCTGGTATTGGCACAAAAATAGACATGTAGACCAATGGTACAGAATAGAGGACACAGAGACAAACCCATATAAATACGATATGTCATACTAGACAAAGGTGCCAAAAACATTCACTAGAGAAAAGATAGCCTAAAGTGATGCTGGAAAAACTGGAAATCCATATGTATTAAAATGAAATTAAACCTCTATCTCTCACCTTGCACAAAAATCAACTCAAAGTGGATCAAAGACGTAGGCACTAGAACAGAGACCCTGTGCCTAATAGAAGAAAAATAGGCCCAAATCTTCACCATGTTGGCCTAGGATCTGACTGTTTTAACAAGACTACTAAGCTCAAGAAGTAAAATCAAGAATCAGTAAATGGGATGGATTCAAATTAAAAAGCTTTTTCTCAGCAAAAGAAACAATCAATAATGTGAGGAGACAGCCTACAAATTGGGAGAAAATTTTTACCACATCCACCTCCAATAAAGCATTAATCTCTAGGATATAAAAAGAACTCCAAAAACTTTACACCAAAAAATTAATAATAATAACCAATAATTAATAATCATATTATTAATTATTGGTTATTATTAATAATTAATAACCAATTAATCAATAAATGGGCTAAAGAATTGAACAGACACTTCACAGAAGAAGAAATATAATTGATCAACAAATATATGAAAAAATATTGAACATCTCTAGCAATTAGAGAAATGCAAATCAAAACTATGCTAAAATTTCATCTTATTCCTGTCAGAATGTCAATCATCAAGAAGACAGGCAACAATAAATGTTGATGAGGATGTGGTGAAAAAGGTACACTAACACATTGCTGGTGGGACTGCAAATTGGTGCAACCACTATGGAAAGCAGTATGGAGATACCTCAGAAAATTGGGAATGGAACCACAATTTGACTCAGCTATCTCGCTCTCGGTTTATATCCCAAGGACTTAAAATCAGCATACTATAGTAATGAAGCTCTGTCAATGTTTATAGCAGCTCAATTCACAATAGCTAGACTATGGAACCAACCAACCTAGGTGTTCTTCAATAGATGAATGGATAAAGAAAATGTGGTGTATATATTCAATGGAATATTACTCAGCTTTAAAGAAGAATGAAATTATTTATGCCAGTAAATGAATGGAGTTAGAGAATATCATGCTAAGTGAAATAAGCCAATCTCAAAAAACCAAAGGCTGAATGTTTTCTCTAACATGCGGATGCTAATTCACAATTAGGCAGGGGGAACTAGGGAAGAATAGCATTACTTTAGATTAGGTAGAGGGGAGAGAAGGGGATGTGGGGATAGGAAAGATAGCAGAATGAAACAGGCATTTTTACTTTACATATATATGTGACTGCCTGACCAATATGATTATACATGTACACTCAGAAAAGTGAGAAATTATATCTCACTGTGAATGACATTTCAAAGTACATAAATGCATTCTGCTGTCATGTATAGCTAATTAAAACAAATTTTAAAATCTGCTATTTAACTAAAATACCTAAGAAAAGCATATGCTTTTGTAAATGACAGACTAGGAAATATGTAGATCAGCTTTCTCCATGTGCTGTGGTTTGAATATTTGTGAACCCCGCCCCACCATCCCTATTCATCTGATGAAATTCTAACCCTCAAGTTGATGGTAATAGGAGGTATGGATCTTTAGGGGTGGTTAGATCAACAAAGACAAGGACAGAGCCCTAATGAGTGTATGTAACACTGTCTTGCCCTTTTACCATGTGAGGACTGAGTGAGAAGGCACCATGTTGTGATGAATCACCTTGATCTTGGATTTCCCAACCTTTGGAACTTGGAGAAATCAACTTCTATTATTTATAAACTACCTAAGTTCTAAGGCATTTTGTTATAGCAGCTCAAATGAACCCCATGACAATAAGGAGAATTTGAGAGAGTATTTTAAAAAATATCTCCATGAAGGTCTCAGAGAGCTAACAAGTCCATGAAAGATTAGGAGGCCAAGATCCCTAGCAGTAAGGGACCTAGAGAAGTGAGCATGGCATTTGTAGTTGCTTTTCCTTTAGGGTAAATTGTCAGTTCCAGAAGAGACAACTAGAAGCTGAGCAAAGCTTTGACAACTTCATAGGGCTTGGGAAACAAAAATTGGAGTTCAGAAACAGCCACAAAGCAGAGATCAGGTAAATCCACTTGTGTTTTGGGTTAGAATCCTGAAAGAATTTGTCATTGGACTAAGGGTGATCTGAAAATAACTGGGTCCTTGCAATTACTAAAGCAAAGCTTCAGATAATCTCATTCCTTATAATTAGATTATTTATTAATAGTTTATACTGCTAACAGCCTGCCTGCCCAAAACAAATGAGTCTACTTTAAGGGAAAATAACATTGTAGGTTTGAAAAATTATTTCCTCAATTTTTTAAATGTATAATTCCCAGCTCTACAAAAAATAAGCAGACATACCTAGAACAGCCAAAATCCAAAACATTGACTATGTCAAATACTGGTAACGATATAGAACA